GGCTTTGGCGCTTCAACTCCCGGCAGTGTGTGTGTGTGTGTGTGTGTGTGTGTGTGTGTGTGTGTGTGTGTGTGTGTGTGTGTGTGTGTGTGTGTGTGTGTGTGTGTGTGTGTGTGTGTGTGTGTGTGTGTGTGTGTGTGTGTGTGTGTGTGTGTGTGTTTGGGTGTGTTGATGTGTGTGTGTGTGTTGATGTGTGTGTGTGTGTGTGTTGATGTGTGTGTTGATGTGCTTTTTGGTTGGGAGGGGGAAGGGGTGGGTGGGTGGGAAGAACTGTGTGGGCTGATGGCTGGCTGTTGGGGTGTTCAGATTGAAGCCACCTTTTTGGTGTGGATTCATGAGGGTAGAGCATGGGCTTTATGTGCAGAACATGTTTCTCTTTATATATATATATAATGGGCATTGTTACACCAGTTCCCAAAGAAAAACACACACCCGTAGAGGTACCCTTTTCAGAGCTACCTTTTGGTTGGCCTATTGTGGGGAACCAATAGAAACCAAAATGTTCGCTTATCCCCCAACAAACGACACACTGCTTGCTCACAGACATGGATACATACATATATAATACATATAATATCTAAAACATTCAGAACTATGTAATGACACATAACATGCACTATAGCATGACCTTGAGTCTTTTTGCTGAGGCTACCTTTGTTTTGCGGGTTTAAGGTGCAAACCACCAGGAACACCGAAATCCATGTTGGACGCCCCCGGAAGGGGGAAGAAAAAAAACGAAGCCGCGAAGCAAACAACGCGCGCCTAAGGTCTCCTGGGCCGCCTCGTCGCATTCCACCCGCTCGCCGTATTTGGAGACCCAGGTCTTGCGGTCGGATCAACAAATCGAGCGCAGGGCCCAAGGCTTGGAGGCTAACTGTCTGAAAAGGGGGCTGGGGCCGAGGGAGGGAGGGGAGGGAGCCCTAAACAACCCCCTAGTAAGCCCTCAATAAGGCTTTTAGGGCTCCCTCCCCCTCCCCTCCCTCAGCCCCAGCCCCGAAGATGACGTGCCCCAAGCATCGCTCACGGAGCCTCAAAAAGGGAATTCCATTTTCAGGTCCAAAACTTTATGGAGGTGCCAACCCCTTGAATGGAGGGTTCAGTGATGCTTCGGGTGGATACTCAGAGCATAGGCTAGAAACGGATCCCCCCCTTCAGATGCGATGTTTTCTGTGCTTTCGGTTTTCGTTTAGAACATCCCCAAAATACAGGGGTCACTGGATTGTCGATTCAGAAGTTGATCAATTTATTGGTTTTAATGGAAAATGCCGCTTTTGGAGGTTCCAGAAAGGGAAATGGAGGAAAACCTCCATTGATAGGACCCTAAGCATAGGGATCCTTAGAATAGACTAGTTTTCCTGGCAAATCGCGCATAAAACCAATCTAAACCAAGGCCATCTTCTAACCAAACTAATCTAAAACGACACCTATGACCCTACCCCTTTGGATGCGGTTTTGCAGCTGATAGGATTGTTTAGTGGACCACCAATCGGACTTCGGTTTTCCAGTGGTTTCCCTTTAACACCACAAACAAATTGTCCAACTCAGAAATACATACTTAACAAACCACAAAAAAGGAGTCCAACTCAACACAAAGACACACGCCGAACGCTGTCACCTTCTGGAAAGTACAGGAAGCCGCATAAGGAAACTCACTTGGAACAGTGACAAAATGGAGGATTCCCATGACATGATCAGAAAAAAAACAATTTACTCGAGTCCCGCACAAGGAGTGATAGATGCCCTTGGAACCAACAAACACACAAATCATTCAGCAAATGGAGGAGCGCAAGTAGGCCTTGAACCCAGCTTTCCTTTCCTCGGTTGACATGGTTTGGCAGCTTACTTGACTGCGACACACACTTGGTAGTTGCTAGCATGGTCAGTCGGACCCGCAGTGACATTTGTACTCCTTGCAGCCGGCTTTCCTTCAACCGGATTCCGATCCGGGCCATGAGGCCGCAACTCGGAGAGTCACAGAGAGAGGTCCGAGGTCCATGGGATTTTTCCCAGGAAAAGACTCGCCACAATTTACATGTTGAAAGCCAAAGAGTCGCAAATCAGAGTCTTACCATGGGATTTCCCCCGAAAAACCATTTTGCCAGGTAAGATGTTTCTTTGCTCAGGGACCTAGTGACCCAAGTAGTAAAACTGGCACCATTCCCTTGTGGCTGTGTCGTTGTTTGGTACCCCACATCAAACGGAAAATCCTTTTTTTGGGGGTTCCCCCAAACAAAACACCCATGTGGGCAGGGGATGGCTAAACGCCGTCTCTTTATTTGACTGGGGTCATTGAGGGAGGGTCGAAAAAAGGTGTGGCACATAACCCATCCGTCGCCTCTATTTGCTGAAGTCCCGCGGACAAGAATTGAGAAATCTATGTCCAGATTCCCTTTGAAACCAAGAGGTGAAAATAAACGCCACTTTTCGGAAGCTGTCCTCGTCAACAGTGCCCTCGGCAATGTTGCAGAGCCACGTGGCCACATCCTCCGGGGTTCTTCATCCAGGACTCACCCCAAAAAGGACCTGGAAATATAACAAAAATATGTATGAATTCACTCACAGAAACCTCCCCAAGTCTTTTTTCTTAGTTGCCCAGAGGACCTGGACATGAAGGGTGATCAGCTTTCGGGACCTTGAATATAGATGGACAAAAAAGGTTGAACCAAAAAGGTCAACAGGTCGAATCGCTTTGGACATCCGAGTTAATCTTCAGCTGAACATTAACCTTGGGGTAACCGCCCCCACAAAACACAGAATCCCCAGAAGCAATCGCTCGGTGCGGTGCACCGAAGCCATCTTGGCTTCCTGCAAAAAAAACTCTCCAGCCGAGCGACGGAGGACTTGTCTTTGAAGTAGCCCCACATTTTCTGGATCAGCGTCTTGGGGTCCTCCGTCACAGCTGTGTGACACAACTCGGACACGTCCTGGCCGCTGGCCGAATCCAAGCGGATTCGGTAGCCGAGGCTCTCAAGGTTGGCTTGAAGGAAAGCCAAGAGGAAAGACACCAACTTTTGGGGTGCCCCTATTTGACACGCAAGCATGTCCAAGGGAATCCGCCCCCCTGGCAAAAAAAAACAAAACATAATAATAACCGCTTGCAGGCTTCAGAAATGCCAAGCTGAAACGGGCCACGTCGATGAAGTCTGGCAATCATGCCATGGGCAAAACTTCGGTGGGGCATGGTCCTGGTTCCCTTGCACGCCATCTGAGCCCAAAAATGGTACATGCGAGCGGGTTAATTCCGAGCAGATCTGAACCAGGTGCTCCCCAAAGGTACAAAATGTGGAAGGTGCGGGGGGATTGAAACGCAAAGACTTAGAATTGAATCTTCCAAAGGGTCTGCAATCTCAGGATCCTATATAATAAGAATGGGTGTCTTTGTTTGAGTCGGTGCCCTTCTTGGGTTGAAACAAAATAACACATAAAGGGTGCCATAGGTTCCCTTACACACATAGTGCCTCCAAATCTTTGGGTGTTCAAGGGGGTATAGGTCTTACTTTTTGGGAATATATGGTCCAAAGCAAGACTCCACCTTCCTCTTGGCCATTTGGGATCTGTTGCCTACTTTTTGGCAACATGTGCATGTTCAGCAAAAGCAAGAGATGGCTAAGCTTTTTTGCACTGGGGACGAGGTGTGGACCCCTGACGGCTTCAAGAGGGCTGATAAGTCAAGGTGTCAAGTGTCCCACCCCCAGCAGGGCGTGGCTCACTTTTTGCGGGGTACCCGTTTTGGGGGTGGTTTTGAAGCGGGCAAACCCGACTTTCGCTGATGTCAACGGAGGCGGCTGTGCATGATCAAAACGTGCTTTTCACCACAATTTTGCTGTTCTTTCTTGCAAAGGCCCTATGGCAAAAAAAGTAACGATTTGCAAAACTTGCTGGTTTGCAGCAGGGAATCAGAGATAATCAGGAAGAACCGGAAAGGGATTCCCTAGGAATTCACCGGGTCATTCCAACTCACTCCCTAACAAACCAGCGACAAGTGCCCTTGGACTTATTGGTACCTATCGATTGGGAAGCTGTTAAACCGTTTGGCATCCCTAGGAAACCACCGGTTGGACGGTTCAGTTTGAGGTTCCAACCGAAAAATTCCCCAATCGAGCCAAGGAAAGCCATTCGGTCGCCCCCGGCCTTCGAGAAATTGAGGACCACGCTGTTGTTGCTGCTGTTGCCATTGCAGCGCTCCTGCCAAAACTTATGCAAAACTCATCCCAACTAATCCAACCCTAAGCATCATTGGACCCTCCATTGAAGGGGTTAGGACCTCCATTGGAAGATGTTGGACCTGAAACGTGCCTACCAGGTGATTTTGTCTTTGAAAGTGCTCAAACTGACTATGCTCAAGAAGAATGTAACTGGTCTTCTTGCTCACTGCAGCGCGGGGATTCCACCTTCCCCAATTGGGATTCAATTGTTTTTTTCTGCCAGAGGTTTGGGTCAAAGGCAACATGTACCAAAAAAAAGAAAGGCCGGCATTTACTTCCTGACTCTTCTGGTACTTTCACCCCTTATGGCCGACATATAAAAATCCCCCACCTAGAAGGGTGGCCTCATGGACCGTTGGGGACACAAGAAGAAACCGAAGACAAAAACACCACTGGAGATCTCCGAGACATCCTCAAAATGCTTTGCCACTTGAATGGACCCAGGTATGCCGGTTTGTCTTTGAGGGCAACCCCTTTCCGGGCTAGCCAGAAAGCCAACAGGAAAGCCACCTTCTTGGGCTCCGCCTGTTTTGACATATACCCATGTGGTTGTGGCCCATATGGTCTTGGAAGATAACCCTTTGATGCCCACGGCTACCTCACTTCAAAGGTGATCTCATTCGTATCACAGAAACAAACAATCTCGCATCTCTGACAATGCCGATTCATATCGGGATCGAGCTGTGCTTTTCTTCTGAAATCAGGGGAGTCACAATCAAAACCCGGCTAATCGGAGGGTAGCAATGGACACTCCCAACCATACATGGGTGCGCATTTCCGCCTTGTCAATTCCTGAAGCATGGTTCTGGATTCACCATTTCATTGCTGGGTTTGCGGTTACATTCGGACCATACGCGTATGTTGATCCAAGAGGATTGCAACTGTCCCAGTTGCAGAAAAGGGTACATAATAACCTATATGTAGAAACCGCTTTCAGAGGCGGCTTCTTTTTCTTGCCAGCTTTACATAGCTTCACCCTTGTTTCGTAGCGATCGGTGTTGAGTGTGACTCAGAAACCACTCAGCGGCCTGGGTGCCTTTGTACAAGAGCTCGATGGTCTGATTGATGCGCTGCTGCGCCAAGTCCTCGGCCCCGCTGCCATGGCTTTGTCGAAGGTTCTGACCTGTCTGCCTTTACCTGAATCAACACATGGTCGTATAAGTACCTAAAAGGGGGGCATGGAAATCCTCATGATTGAATCCGGTCAAAAGGAGACTCCGGCAATTAGACCTTTGGCAGGTTTATGGCGCAAAAGCCATGTCCTCTGGGCCGATTTGCGCAAAGACCAGCCATCGTAGGAGGTGACATAACTACACCCTGTTTTCCGGATACTTTTGGGGTTGGCCCCACAAATAAAACAAACAACGCGAACTTGAGGATTCGGATCGCTCTCTGACTTTCAGAGGGTCTCTAAGAGGTTGAGGCAACAAAGACCTAGGTTTGCTCACACAGGACCCCCCAAACCCTTTGTGGCTCCCCTTTTCCGCACCCGAGCTATGGTGCCCTCCAAACGCCACTAGCTATGAGGCCCAAGACCTTCCAATCGAGGGTCCTTTCTGATGCTTCGGGCAACAGCCCTAAATTCTGTGGGGGTCTGCTCCGCTGCTCTGGGCGATGTTCTTCGGGCTCCGGAAAAAGAATCACCTGGGCGTTTGTTCGTACAATCACAAGGGTACCGAGCCTGAAAACCCACCTACATATACTTCCATCTGCCTGGTGCCGCTGAAACTCTGATAATACAAGTGCTGCAATGATTCGTATAAGTCATGGACATAAGATTGACATATGTGTATATTTGTTCAGGCCATTATATTATACCAGTCATGACCTTCCCCTTAACACCAATAAAAGATATCACGTGTCCACTACCCCCAAACCTTAACCAGCACGGCTATGTAAAGCCAACAAGAAAAACAAACCGCCTCTGAAAGGGGTTTCCACTCACATCAAACCGTCTACATGCATGTTATGTAACATGTTTTACCCACAGTTGCAACCCTCTTGGATCAACATGCGCTTTTGGCAGAAATGGAAGCACGTGAATCATAATCAAAACCCGTTATCAAAAATGGTCTACGCAGAACCATGTAAAGAATTGAAAAGGTGGCCGCTCCCATTTATGGCTGGGACTGTCCCATACTACCCTCCAAGTGCCCGGCTTTTGATTGTAACTCATATGAGCTGTCGAAATCTGCGAGTTTCCAGGCACATCGGCCAATGCGTGAGAGCCCTTTTGGAAAGGCAGTCAGGAAAATCAGAGAGCAGGCTACGTTTCAGGCTTCGAGGGTTCCTGTATGAACACTGCAACATGGTGCTTTCATGGCGGGAATTCCAACCAAGGAGCCTTGTTCATGCATTCCTACCCCAGGCACAAAGGAAAACCAAAAAGGAAAACCCACCAAATTGAGGGGGAGGAAATTCCGATTTCTAAAAATGGCACAGCTTTGTCTTCTGCAAGGTGTCTGTTTCAAAGACAGCCTTGATCACAGCTCGCCTTAGCCAGCTCGCCAGAAAACAAGGGTGTCATTTTTGAGGGTGCCCCCTTTTTTTGCGGTTTGAAAAGGCAACCGTGAAACAACTTGCTGGTTGTCAGCAGAAGATGAGGACATGAATCCTACCAACCATCCCCTATGGTTTCCTTTAAGGGAATCAGGTTCATTTGCAAGACCCTGGGTCATTCCCCACTGAGCACCAAGAAACCTCCAGCCATACCTTCGCCCGAGCTTCCGTTTGCGGCGCGTGTCTCGGCGGAGCGGGCACTGGTGATGTCGCATCCGGCTCCTCGGCCCTGAGGGTCGACGGCGCCTGCGAGAGAGCGGATCCCAGGGACACATTCTTCGCAGAATGCTGGGCGAATAATATTTCACCAACCTGAAATAAGGTCCTTGGGGGGGCTATTCCCCACAGAAGCTATTCCCCACATAAACCACAATTTGGGCTGAGGTCGTGTGAGGTCGTTATAACTCACCCAGATGCATTGACAAGTCACTTCCCGAGTTGGCCAAAAGGCTTGCAAGACATATCTCAGTCTGAGCCCAACATGTCACTGGACCCATCTTCTGGACTGAGCCCAATGTACAGGTTGCGAAAGGGGTAACGCCAGAGCCGCCAGAAGACAGAATTCCTGCAAAAAGGCGACTGGTTGCTGGGTTGTTCGATATGGGTAGTCCCTATGATCGATAGTGGGGCAGCGATGGAAACCACTCCCATATGGCATAAGAATTCCAAATTGATTTTGAACCCAGTTTCTCGTTGGACAGTACACGTGGAACATCACCCGAAGTCAGTGATGCCAACATGCGAATGACATTCCCACAACATGACTTAGGGGATTCCCTTGGTACAGAAAGTGGCTGTAAACCTGTACACCTGTACGTCAGACTCGCTCTAATTGGTGGTTTGGAGCCCGGCGGGTTGGTGGTTAGGTGGTTCCTCATTGACCCTTTGCAAGAACCAGACTTCAAATCCCAATCCACATCCCAACCACCAATGGGGCTCTTATTTGTTAATTATTTGGCTAAACCCGAGTAACGGCCGGCTGCTTGCGCTGCTGGCGCTGCTTTCCTGCATCAATGATTGCAATTCCCTGACTGAATCAAAAGAAGAGTTCAACATGAGTCATGGTCGAAACTACTTGTTTGCTCAAAGGGCACGTGCGATTGTGTTCCAAGAGCACATGGGCTCCCCGCCCTATGTCGCTCCCAAAAGCACCATAGACAGGATAATCTTGAGATGTTGCAACCACATGATTGTCGACTTTCTGTTTTTTCTGGGCCATCGTGGCAAGTATTCCGAGGACATGTCGACCAAACCTGACAAAGCGCCTGCTGCAAATTGTGGATCAGCTTCATGGTCTCGTCTGCGTATGGTGTCTCCTGTCGAGTGGCTGGGCACCCGTGTGCTGGGGCTGCGGGAAAAGCAAACACGGGACGCATGTGTATGGAACATCACATGTTGTTACTCAGCCCTTGTAGTCAACTTGTAGTAGCTTCCCAAACAACTGCCCCACATTCAAAACAGGGTGTTGCGTGTTTTGGTCTGCTGAAGCATGCTTTAGAACGGTCAACTCAGTCTGTTCAGGGATCCTTCGAGAAAGCCTTCAAACACCAAGCAGCTGGTTGAAAAGAACTATGATCGCACAGAATTGGGGAAGAACCCCAACTAGGGATCCCTGTTTTAGGACACCAACATGGGCATGCTCAAGAGCTTGCTTTTCAGGGTACACTAAACACAAGGTGTTCAGATTATGTGTCGTGTTTAGTCAATCCTACAATATATACAATATCTCATTAGCAGCTTCCCCTGAATTGCTGGTTTGGCTTGGTGGTTTGCAGGTTAGGGGCCGGTTTCCCATTTTCATCTGCAAGAACCAGTGGTTCAAATCCAATCCAAGCCGCGAATTTCCAAACCGCCATTTTCAGGGCAACCTGAGCCGCAAAGGATGCTGGGCTCTCTTCTTTATTTGTTAAAACCAAAAAAAGAAAGGTTGGTGAACCTCCCCAATTTGGAAGATCCAAACAAACAAAAGAGATCTGTCAACCCACTCCCCCCCCACCACCCTTTACCCACCACGCCCCCGCACGGAATCATGTGAACAAAAAAAACAACGAAGCAGCGAACTCGGCGCTGGCTATCCGACGCCAAGGGTTGGTTTCATCGGTTTCGTCTTGGGATGTCTTGGGCCATCTCTCAATCGACGCCCCGATTTTGCGCCACAAATATGCTCCCAAATCGGCGACCACAGACTTTGCGTGTGGCTTCCGGCTGCCAACCTGCAAAAGGTGGCCCTCGAAGCTTCGAACGGCCCCCCTTTTTCAGGCAAAGCCAAAGCCAATGAAGGTCCCTCAACCCACCTTGCATGGACTCTTGATGTTCTAGGGCCTTGAAAAACGCGCACACACACACACACACACCCGCCCCTTTGGGCTGGAAAGGTTGGGTGGCGTCTTTTGGGGGGGGGGGTCCCGAATTTCGACAGTGTCCCTTCAACTTTTCTGTCCAATCCACATCTATAGGCAATGTGGCTGGCTGATGTTGAAGGGAAACTCTTCCCTAAAAAGTTGGGGTGGGTGAAATCCACCGGGCAACTGCAGGCAACTACATTGAACATGGAAGCTCACTTGGAACTTGCCCCACGACTCGTTGGCATTGGTTGCTGATGGATTTTCAAAGCGGTGCGGAAATGGTGGGCACCTCCAACCCAAAAGCCCCAATTGAGTATGATAGCAACATGTTTTTTGCAGCCCTCCAAATACTAAAAATAAACAGAACTAACAGAAACAAAACTAAACACTTGCCAACAACAGCGGAGTTTAACCACAACAAAATCTTATGTTCCTGTGCCGGTGTTTTCAAATTGGCGACAAAGTGAGGGTTGCGAAGACCTTTTCCCAATTGTAATCCAGCTGAAGGCAGTATCTGGCAACTTGACACCTGTCGTTTTGGCGGGGACGCTCGGTCCTCCGGATCAGCCGCAAGCCTGAACAACATCAAACCGGATGCCAACGATGGATTCGCGAGTCAGACATGGGCTCGTCTTTGGGGAATCGGACCCCATAAAAAAATGCAACGGTTCTCCTGGTGGTTTTCTTCGAACAAAACACCAAACATTGGGTATCCCCACCCCTCCAAAATAAAGACCCAAATACCCCTTCAACTCCCCCTGGGTTGCTATTTTTCTCCGCTCGAACGGAGGGCTTCTGCCCGAACTCGATCACCTTTTGGCAAATCGGGTGCAAAAACAAGCCGTGTCCAACGGAAGTGCACAAGGGGTGATTGAACAAGGCACTTCTAACAAAAGAAACATGTTGAATTGGTAGGGTTCTGGTCGATCCATCGGTGAACAAAAATGTTTAACCACAAGCGGTTTGACCCCTTACCGCTCCAAAAGACATATGATACCCGGTCCGGGAACCCATGACTAGAAACCTTAACATCCATGTTGAAAACAGTTCTCCAAATAGGAACAACCAATTCATGGACAACGTGGCGATATTCGAATGCTTGTAACTCAGCCCCTTTCGTCTTATTCCCAAAAGCGTTGGGCCAGCCTGAGGCCAGAAGAACTTAACATTTGGCTGGGCACCTGGAGAACAATATGTTAAGCCATGGTCATGGGGGCAAACTGGTCGCAATTTTGCAACCTCCTGCAGATTCAACATGGAACACTTATTTTAGAACTCTTTTGGGGATTCGACGCCCATTTCGGATTCCACGTCAATCTCAAGGAGTCAACTCAACCAAAAACACCCACATGGGATTGTCTCAAGTTGCTGCAAAAAGGAGCTCGGTTACCCTTTGCTCTTCTAGTCAACCCACAAAAGGGGGGTACTGAGCCTCAACAGGTTTTCGGTTCATTTCACTACCTTAGGGGAACATGCACACCCGGAACTCTTTTACGTCTCGTCTCCTGATCTTCGCCAGCAGAAGACGGTGCCGCTCCAAAAGACTTCCGGTCGCAGGCCTCGAAAGGGAAAACACACAAAGAACCCCAGCGTCGGAAAGGACTTGGTGCGATTGGCAGGGAATGGGGGGAATGCCTCTTCTTCACCATCCCTTCTGGTTTCCTTTAAGGGGACCGCTGGGTTCATTCCCGCATCCCCCACTGAGCACCAGCAAGAGGAGCCTCTGAAGGGAGAAAGGGACCTCCATTGGAAGTGTTTGGACCTCATTTCCAAGGGCGCCTTTGATGCTTGGGCCCGGTGTTGGGTTCTCAGTGACGAGGGTCCTCACCATTGAAATGACAAGTTGAAAGTCACAATCAACACCCATCGGTATGGAAACGGTCTGCCCATGAAACAAATCCAGAAGGGCGGATATACGAGCCCACTGTTGGGGTCACTTGGCCTGGTGTTGGTTCTCCGTTGCCCTGGATGGGACACAAAAATATGCTCACCTTTTTGGACCACTGAACATAACCCAAAGTCGGAAAACCAATGGTAATTTCAGACAGGAGAACATATTGACAAGTCCAGGCTTTCCGTCGTAAAAACCTGCCATTTTATACCTCATTGACATCATACACCATACCCTAGAACATGGTTATTGGGTGTACGTCTCGGTGCTTTGTTTGTTGGCTGTTGGCTTTCTGTTGGGGAGATTCAATTTGACTTGGATATGGTTCTACAGGGAAACCAAGAGGAACCAACTCATTTGTTGCCATATCTCACATAGAACTCAAGCCAGGCCAGGGATCACAAAATCCCCCCCCCCTCTCACCTTGGGGTGAGTGGGCGCGCGGGTTCCAGATCAACCCTGGGAGCGACCGTTCTAGCCTCATCCACAGGTTTTGCGGGCGGGGGTGGGGTCGTTTGCGTGGGGTAGCGATGCTCATGATAGGAGCAACATGAAATTATTCAGCCCTTGAGGCAGTCGAACTGTGTGGCTAGTGGCCCTTGGGCAAAAGTTTTTGTTGCTGGATGGTTGGAAAAAACACATGTTTTTCAGAAATCCTGAGGTTTAAAATCCAAGGACATGGCAGTTAAGACTGACCCTCACCCGGGGCTTTGGTATAGGCTCTATATTCTGATCAGCTCGCACCTTGAGAGAAGTGTCAACGGTAAGGTCCATTCCAAGGAAAATGAAAAGTTGGCCACATCTCAACAAGAAGGATGATATCATCAGACTGTTATTTCATGTTTGGTCTATACACAGTATGTATCTATATATATATGTATTTGAGGAGACACACCAAGAGATAATGTTTTAATGAGGACTGGGTAGCGGCTGACCCCAACGAAGATTTGTTGGCTTTTGAGGGGCTGCCATGGCCCTATCACAGACTCCACCACAACACCATCGTAGAATACAGTCATTTGCAGCATGATGGGGCCTGGGGGGAGGGAGAGGAGGGGGCAGAGGCCCTCATGACAGCGGGCTGTGTTTCGCCTTTTCTTTTTGGGAGGGAGGGGTCTTTGTGTTCCCTTGCTCGCAATGTTTAGGGTATTCACCGTATCCCCCAAAGGCACGTTCCCTGGCCGTGTAAAAAGACTCCCACGTCCCATCAAACCAAACCTGCCATAGGTCAACTGTCGCGCTTTCCGCTTCAGTGTAGCCCACTGCTTCCAGGCACTTGCTACCGTTATAGCAATTAGAAATGAAGCATGTAACCAGGGGGAACCAGCATGTCAATGTAAAACCTGGACGAAAGAAACCCAAGGTACCAGCTACCAATCTGCAAACACCGGGTAGCATGACGACCAAACCATGACGTGCGCGAAATAGGGTCACATCAACCCTTGGCCCACATCTGGGGTACACCTACATGTGTGTATAAAAATATATATGTATTTATACATATGTGTGTGTATCCATATATATATATATATGTTGATGCTGGTTCATGTTTAGTCTACCCTAAAACCTAAAGAAAACAACAACTAGGCTTTGAGGCTTTGAGGAGACCCCAGAATCGAATGAAAGCAACATAGGACCCAATATTGGTCACTGTCAAGTGAAAACATAAGATCTGAACTTGGCTAGGGCATTAGACTTTCTTGATCAACCGTCAAGTCAAAACAAAGATTTGACAAACCAGAAAACATAATTGAACTTGTAGCAAGGAAGTTAGATGTTCCCAAATCAAAACACGTTGAGTCCCCAATTGCCATGAAGTTTACATATTCTATTGCATGGAGAAGGCGTCATGAAAAGAGCCGTCCATTGCCATAAGTTAAGCAAATGAGAGTGAAGTTTGGAGAAGCAGTCCAAACATCTTCCCATCTCCGCGCCTGAGCTTGACGGAGGGGCGGAAGGCACTGCATGTGAGACCTGAAAAACATGAAAAACAAAACATCCGGGTTTACGGCTTCACAAATGGGTGTTTCTGCAAACAGGGTCCTCAACTTTGAAAAACAACTAACTAGGACTCAGTCCACTAGAACGGCGTTTCATTTTAAACTTCAATGCCAACCGAAAGGGGGGTCTGTGATTTGAAAAGACTGTTCCAAGGGCGACCATGGGTGTTGCATCGAAGGGGGTCCCACACGGATGCGGATCACAGCACCTGGTGTGTATGGCTCGACCAAACAGCTCTTGTTGTTCAAACAACCAAACAACGACTTTGGGTAGATCGAACTCCATGAATGCAAAAGGCAAAAACATGTAGGTCAAACTTCAATAATTGTCCGTGGAGAACCTTCTCTTTGGAAGGTGCTGACAGAAAAACCAACGAAAACGGAACTCTGGGTTTCAAACCAAAATAGCCAAGGGCGTCAAAGTTGTCCAAGTTGGGCTAGTTGCCAAAGAAACGTTGGTTTGTCTCCGAAGGGTCCAGGGCTGGAGTATGAACAGTTGGTTTCCTCGTGTCGACGAATCCCTCTTTGCAAGCAAAATGTCCACCTAATCCCACGGCTTGGTATTCTGATAACTTGATGTTCAGTTGCTTTTTAGGGACCCACACAAGGTGATCACCTTTTGGGGCCACTAAAAGATGGGACTCCGAAAGGGGGAAGCTAAAACAGGGCCAGCCAAAAGACCAAAAACAACATTGCCGCAGCCCACTTGTTAATCGGCCAGCCATGCCCTTATCTGACCCTCACGCTTTGCAGCCCCAAGCAACTGACCAGGATAGCATATCCTCAAACTTCCTTGTACGATTACGGCTGGAACCTCCAACTGAGGGGGGTCGTCCAACCCTGTAGAAACTGAAGGCGGCTTGTCTTTAGAAGGGAATGTCCAGACTTGAGCTTGTCTAGGGGTGTGCCGGTTCCCTACCCCGTAAACGTGCTCGGCGGCCCGCCGAGCTCTTTTAGGGGGTTGCCAAGTCTGCAACCACAAGCCGTAAGAGCGGTCATCACCACCTTGGGGTCACCGAGCTCCCTACCCTCTAAAAGTGCTCGGCGGGCCGCCGAGCTCTTTTAGGGGGTTGCCAACTCCACAACCCCGTAAAAAAGCAATTGGAAGAAGCGTGTGGCTTGCAGCCAGACACCTCTAGCGGCAAAATACCCGTTCGCACTCGGGCTACAGCTTGCAGAAAGTAAGGGTGGCCTGTCTTTAAACGGGAATGTTCAAACTTGAGCTTGCTTCCCTGCAAACGTGCTGGGTGGCCCGCCGAGCTATCTTAGAGGGCTAACTGTCCAATCAAATGCCATGACAGTCGTCCACCCTGCTCCCTGCAATGTTGATATCTCTTGGTGTTGCAGCGTTTTGGCTGCCCCTGTAAAAGGTCAGATCCGGCCAGTTCGCTTTGGACAGCTGGTGTTTGAGTGGATTGAACACATGTGAATGGTTTGAATTGCATTCTGCTGGCGTGGGTTGAAGACACCTGATGCTGGAATGGCTGGCCTGGTCGAGCTTTTCTGCAAAACTTGGAGCAACGTTACCCGTTCTGCAAGCGAAAGGCGAAAGGGGAGGTGAGCCTTCCATGAAATCTTCCTCCAACTTGGATGTTCAACCCAATGAGCAGCTCAAAACCGATAGTTATAAGGGGGGTGATCGCCCAGTGAATTACCCAGTTGTTCCCATGGATACAACCGACGTTGGTTGAACATCCAACGGAAGGTCACGTTCCCAAGACCCAAGTGAGCGCCCCAATTTCCCCAACTTTGGGATCTACCAAAATGGTCTCACAGGTTGTAATCATAGGTGTCCTTTTAAGGGAAATAGATGGCCTTGGTTGATGATTTAACCACCAGATAAACCAGGAATCGCCAACTATTTGTCTGGCAAAACAACCAAAAAGGACACCTAAGCCGCCTATGGTTCTAATTAATGTTGACCCCAGATTTATACCCCCCGCCCCCAGGAGTTCCGCTCGGAGTCCCGGTCCCGTAGAAAAAGGCATCCCCAGTAAAAAGGGGCCCGCTTCAGTCGACATGATCGGTCTCTCTACCCAAATCTCAGCCGCCTAGAACCCCCTCACTCAAGGCCGATAGGAATCGGCTTTGGGAACTCAGGCACTCAGGTGTTTACCAGGCCAACCACCCGGTATTTGATCCGAACAGGCTTCCTCACATGTTACGCGTGGGTTTCCGCAAGGAAATATCGCGACAAAGAAGTGGCGTTGTGGTTGGTTTGCTGTTGGGCCATGGTTCGATAGCTTTTGCCGATGGTTTGTGATGATCTTGGTTTAAGGGGTGAACATGGAAAAGAAACAAGAAGACACCCAGTCCCAACCTAGCGACCGGTGAAACCACGCAACAGGCCACATTGAAAACTCCGCAAGCGAAGCCTTCAGGCTTGGTCGAACAGGTCCCCTGAAAACAAGTCACACTTTCCACGGCAGAGAAGAGGACCACCCGCCATTTTACCACAGGTTAAGCTGAAAACCACCAAAAAGCATCCCAGATCATGCAAGGGACTAAACAAAAACAACTTCGTTCCTTAGCAGCGCCCTTTTCGCCATCGTCCAACGCTTTTGTTCTTTTCTTAAGCCCGGGGTCCAAAGCCTCAGAGCAAGGCTTGGGATCATATGGTCCTTATTGTTCTGCGGATGCGTTGAACAGACCAACTTGGAGCGTGGGGGGGTCACTTCCGCGGACGCCTTGGCCGTTTTGGAACCCGTTTCTTGGGGAATTCCGAACCTTTCTTGAATGGGTCCCCTATCCACGCGAATCGATGGGCAGCAGTGGTTCAGGGTGGATCCGGGCCCGTTTTGGTTGGGCAAACAGTGCCTGATGCTCGGGGCTTTTTTTTAAAGTGGAATTGAGGGGGGGGGTCCCTTTTCGGCAGCCTTCACAAGTGCAGGTACTGTGGGTTGAACATGATTAGAATCAGCTCTTGACTTGACCTGAAGCGTCATCACAATCGCAAGTACGCGCGACGCGTGCGAGCATGCTCTGCCAAGCCGCAACACAGCAAAAGCCAAATACTTCGCATGTTGGTTCCCGGCTTAGCCGGTCCTAGGGCAGAAAACGCCTTCACGTGGCACATGTTGGTTTGGACAGGAGTTGCCCACGTAGTAATTCGACTGTGTAGTGGTCAGTCTGCTTCCCGAAATGGTTAATCTTTTCAGGGCCGTTCTTTTCTAGGTTCCTTTGCGGGGGTCGGGCTTTTTCCGGATTCTTCAAACAACAAACGCTGGAGCCCGACGGCCGGCGCGAGATGCAAGTCCCCCAAAAGACATGGACGATGAGCGAGTCCAGTTGTTTTTGTTGGAAACTTAGTGAGTTCCCCATGTCCCTCCCCAAAAATCCATAGTGGCAAGCTCCACCAAACCTCATGCACGCAATGCTTGCTAGATCCTACTCTCAAAGTCCAAGACTCGGCCCAAGTGGTGAGTGGATTGGCCAAACAAAAGTGCCCCCGGAAAACTTGAAAAGGTCCAGGCACTCAAGTGGATTTGAAAACAACCCCAACCTGTGAAATCTCCGAGAACACCCAGCCAAGTGGGCACTTTCCCATCAAACACCTCACTTTCCGAGCGGATAGAGGGATGGCCCAAACAGCTGCTGCCAGTTGTTGACGGCTACCATGATCTTCCCCAAAGGTATATACATAATATGTCGACCCAAAACAAATACTCCCCCCCAGCGGGTTGCTAATCAGGCGTCCCAGTCCCCCTGGAAGCAAGGATTTCACACTAACAGGGGACCCCCACATGGCTATGGGTCAAAACCCCGTACCCCGAGTGAACATCCCAATCCCCACTAAAATTGACTAAAATGGGTGGTGCACCTACCCCAAAATGGTACCATTGGTTTTGACCCACAGCCACATGGATCCACATTGATAATAAGGATGAATCAAGGGCCAGCATTGATCAGCATTATCTAGAAACTTGGGCCTTGAGCTTGCCGAAGAAAATACATTCAATATGAGTTCCCAGGAATGAGCTCTTTCTTTTAGGCCGCAAGGGGGGGGGTCCTTCTTTGTTCCAAAGAAACCATGCACCGAGCGAGGTGTTTGTCTTTGGGAGAAAAGGGGCTCGAAGCATCACAAATGCCTCAAACACGTCCAACTCTGTGCTAAACTCCTCTTGGGGAACTTATAACCTGGGTTACTTAAAAACAACCGTCCACCAAAAAGGTACCCTCACAAACAGACAGGCTAGCACACTTCCGAAAGCAAGGTCACGGCCCCATGGCCCTATCACTAGGCTGGCACAGCTCCCTTTCAATGGCTCGATGGTCGATGCGGAACCACGAAGCGAACGGTCTGTCCATGGGACCCTCCACTGAGGCGAGGACCTCCATTGGAAGGTGGTGGACGTCATTTTGAGGGGCCTTGTTTTGAGGGCCCCAGAGGCTTGGGGTGCGGTTTATGAGGATGGTTCCAATCCCGTGCGCCGGGCAACAAGGCACACGCACCGCATCCGGGGTTTGGAAGCCATTGGAAATCAGGGGACCCTTGAACGGGTTGGTGTCCTGTTTTCTTGGAGTTTCCCCCCAAATGGGAGCCCCAATATGGGTTGGTTGCCTTGGAATCGCCCGGTGGACACCAAATAAAAAGGCGGTGCCCCGGTTTGAAAGAAGAGTCACAGCCCCATGGCTGGCCACCTCCCCGCTCAGGTCTCCGCTTGCTCTCGTGCCATGCGCACACCCTCAGCTGGCCCTGCGAAGGCGGCCAGGCGCCCAGCGTGGCGAAGCCGGCTGATTTGTGGTATACGTCCAAATATGAACTGATGGACCCCGTTTTTTGTTTCACAGCTTTTGAACCCCGGCTGGCTGCCTAAAACTGAAGGTAGAATTCAGGGTTAACTACCCATCAACTAGGGGTTCATACTCGGGGTTCATGTCTTTTTGAAGGTACCCTTTTTTATTTTGGTGGGTATTGTCGGTGAACGAAAAGGACAATCGAAGCCGTTTTACCGGGCTTAGTCTAAAACTGCATAGCGCGCTCTTGGTGACATATTCGAGGGACAAGAGTCGAGTTTGTCTTTGGTTGGGACTGTCTGAAAATGGGTAATCAAAACCGATCGGTATTAACATGGACAAACCTATGCCCCAAGCATCTTGGTCCCTCAACACGACTCTGATGCTGAACGGGTAAGGAGTTGAAATGCTGGACATTTCTGCACTATCCGGGCTTTGATTCAGGCAAAAAGGGAAAGGCCCGAGATGGATTCCATTTGGAGGCTTACCCCTTCTTATCCCAAGAAACCTGGACGTGGAAGGGCGTGATTCTTGTCAAGAAAAAGAGTACTTTCCAAGCCTAGAATAATATGAGGTGTTCAGACTCTGTTTCACATTTCGTCTACCCTGATACCATCGTTTTGGAGAAGACCCCTTAAATGGGTGTCTGCTTTTACGCGGCAATCACCCCAGGAGCTCTTTCAAAGGGACACAAACAGCCGCCCAGATCGAGAATTGGACCCCGCCTTTCAGCTCCAAGCGCCGTGTCACCACGTTCGGCTCCGCATCGTTCAAGACCGCCTTTGGGTTACCCCAAAAACGCGAGCAACCCATTTGGGGACGCAAAGAGGTACCCGGTATGGCTGGAGTTGAAGAGTTTGTCTTGGGGCTTAAAGTAGAAACCTGCAAGCCGGCCTGGCTTGATTTGTTGCTTTTTGGGGGCTCGAAGGCGTATTAAAACCCGGAAACCGGGTCAAAACGATCCCTGAATCCGTCCCTGACGCAAGCGTTGTTGGCTTGCCGGCCGCATGAAGGCTTGCTTGGGCGACAAATAAGTGTAAACCCAATGAAGCAGAGGTCTGGTCAGAAAGAACCTGAACTGATCGGGGATTTCCAGCTTGGTTGATACTCCGCGTTGTGTGGACAAATGACTTAGAATCCCAATTAATTGGGTTACATTGAGTTTCCAAGCCCCCTCATCACGCTTGCCTTAGGTTCACAGACCGTTTGGGGTTCTTCCCTTGAAGTCGGCGGCCAGTCAAAACGCTGTTGCAGTTGATTCAACTGACTGAGGGTTTCTCCAAATGGTAGACCCCCTTTTGGCCTCGTAATTGAAGGCACACCAAAAGGAACCAACCATTATCAACCATTCTAGGACACCGATTCCTATTTTGAGAAACCCCGGCCACTCCAAAACAGAGCTCCCAACCCGCCCTAAGCATCAGAGTTCGCACCCTCCATTGAAGAGGAGTTGAGGGAGCTCCATGAGTTTTGGTTTTGGACCTCATGAAAAGGACCTGGACCACATTCTCCAGCAAGGTGCCGTCTTGGAAGCTGCTGCTTTTCAGTTCTGACGCTCAGATCGGCCACATGAGATCCAACAAGTCTGGGCCCATGAGATCCCAAATGAGCAGCGCCCAAAACCCGTTGACCTTTGGATCTACCAACATGGCTAATCAAGGTATATATAGGCCTTCCCATAACCCGCAAGAAGCAAGCTCGAAAAAGGCCAACGAAGGATTTTTCTTGCGCTGCTCAAACATGATGTGGAAAAACCCAACCAAACACACCCCACCCACACTCACCCACTCAACCACCCAATTGCCCAACCACCCAATCACCTTTGCCCGACCACCCCATCCCCCACCTAGCAAGTGCTTGCTGCCTTGGGAACCTCTGCATAGACCAACACAAGTCCACTTCGCACCAGTTGGGATGGGCGGCATATCAAGCCACAGAATTCATCCATCCCCTCCGGCGCGAAGTGGCTCTTGACCCTCCAAGGCATAGCCCGAGCTGAGGCTCGCGCGGTCACGCTGCACGCATCCTTCACCTTCCGCGCGCTTCACGAGGGCCCAGTTGGAACTTTTCTGCCCAGGGCTCCGTTCCATTGGCCAAAAAAAGAGAGTTGGCGAAACGTGCTGCTTGCCACAACTAAAAAGCCCCACTCGGAGGGTGAGAGTGATCCAAGCGGAGTTTGACACATACCAACATTGAGCCAGATATTATATATGTATATATATATATATGTACACTCCAAAACCACCCCTGCCATCCCCAATAACCCTGGTATAGGATTGTTGGGCCGATTTACACCCCTAAACCCATATAATTGCCCCTCTCAAGAACCTTCCCTTAAGGTAGTTTTGGGGCGAATTGATTTACCCCCGTCAAAAACAGTCTCGGTAGGTGTAAAAATGGCGACCCCCCCCCCCCAAATGAATGAGGTTTCTTTTTGTTTCCCTTAATACCCAGCTGAACAGGGAACCTTAAAACAACAACTAACAAACAAACAACCAACCAAGCAAGCAAACAAGCAATCAATCAAACAAACAAACAAACAAAACAAACACACATCACACACACCCATCTAATTGTACCACACTTGCCCAGTGACCCTGTCAGAAAATGAAAGGACTATTTGGCTTGACTCCATATTTAGTAGGGCAAACACACGTTCCGGGAAATTGCCGCTATTTATCTGGCCTTGCGTAATAAGCATAACACATGTTAGCTCACATGTTTGCACATTTCGACATTTGGAGCTCCAAAGGCGACCGTTTTTGAGTCAGTGATGTTAATATCCATTGCAAAGTTGCTGGCCAACGCGTTGTGGAAAGTGCATAGCTTTAGTTGGCACCCGTGTCATAAATCAGAGTTCAGGTTCAATTCCTTTCTTCCATTGGCAAGCTCCCGACTGGAGTGCAAAAAGGGGAATCATCAACCTCGCTTGTATAAGAGCTAATCTAGACCAAGACCGCCAGTAGCCATTGGAAGAAGGGGCACTCTCTTTTTTGTAGTTGTCTGTAAGGGAATCTGCACCAGAGGTCTGGTTTCCTCGAAAAGTGGCGGACATGGCAAAGTCTGAAGACTCAGTCCGGGAGGTTGTTGTGGGACACGAAATCCACCAAACGCACCGTGGATGAAACCCAAGCATCTTGGATCCTCAAAAAATGTGAGGTCCAAATCCCAAATCGACGGAGGCCCGTTTCACCCTCCAATGGAGGGTCGGGGTCCACGAGTCCTTTTGTGATGCTTAGGGTGGTTGATGAACCACCATAATGCTTGATAAACCATCCACAGTGACAGTACTTGGATGTTTCACCAAGTAGCTTGCAACCATGGTGAACACTTGGGCAACTGG